AAGAGAGAAGCAGCAGAGAAATACAGTGGAATAGGGCGGTTCAGATAGTCGTTTGAGCATTTAAAGCCTGAAAGACATGGGCTGAAACGTGCACGGGAAACGAGAAAGCTATGATTGTCGAAAGTCGCCAAAAAGTCCAAACTCACGTGCGGGCCAAGGTTAGCCATGTGCAGACCCTACTCGGTTTACAAAATAGCTCAACCCCTGCCCAAGCCCGCTTAAACTAGGGGCTGGGGGGCAATTGATGATACCTCAAACAAGCCCTAGCTGTGAGGTCAGGTCAGGAGGTCGGGTCAGGAGTTCAGGAAAGACACGAGAAACTCAGAGAACTAGGGGTGGAGTTGCCCTTGGGGAGATTGTAGCTGAACCGACCAGGAAACAACTGGATGACTGCGAGAATTGGGCTCGATCCATGAAACTCTCAACCAACCAAGATTCTCTCCTAAAATCAAGGAGGATCCCATGAATAATCGGCAAAGATCTCGACCGAAATCCCACGAAGTAGGGGGCAGTCTTATAAATACTATGCAACGCCTCATCGTGAGGCAGAGACAGAGTGAGAGAGGGATAGAAAAAGAGAAAAACCCTAATCAGTTTAGCACTGTCTTGTATTACATTCAACTAATCAATAAAGAAAAAGAGGAGCAAGAACCTCCATTAAAGAGTGGACTAACGGAGCTCCTGAGCCGATGAACCACTATGTTTTTACTGTGTACACCCCTTTAATCTCCTCAATATTTGATTACAGCATCATACATGAGCCTTGAAGCTCTGATCCACGCTCATTTCACGTTACTTGCACCTTTTGCTCATTCACGTTGGTTTACGCCCATCAATTATCTTTTCTGTGTCTGTGCTTTAATTGATTTATGTAATTTATTATCATTTATACTAACCAAATTGCAGTGAATAATTCTCAACAATTAATATCAGAACCAATCAAATCGTTAAACAAAAACCCAATATCTTTGGGCAATTGAAAAAAAGAAAGGGAAAATGGACATTATGTTTGTAGATATCTCCATCTCCATCAATTGGCCATGTATCTTGCAGCCCATATATGGTGGATTTTGGTGTTGTTTTTTTCCATATAAGAAAAATATTTTTATTAATTTTAAAATAAAAATATACAATAAAGTTCAAAACACACATAGACACCAAAAGCTACGCAAAAAGAGTTTGTTTCACCCATACAAAGTCGTAAACTAACTTTCCCTCTCTCTCAAATATTGAATGTAATGGTAATGTCACGTTATTACAGTCATTTGGTGTTACCATCTAATAATAAATCATTATATAGGCAAGTAAACCTTACTTAATTAGTAACTATAATATTCATATACAAAAAGAACTACCAAGTGGGTTCACCTTGTCCAATTATAAATTTATTGTTGGATGGTGACACCATGTAATAATAGTGACATAATATTACCGTTACATTCAATATTTACTCTTACTCACCTCCCCCAAAAAAAATAAAAAATATGACACGAACGCATATATAAACATATATGCACACATTTACTTGGAATAATCTCAAAGTTACAATATTCAGGTTTGCAATCTAGATGACTAATGTTCATATCCAAGAAAGCTATCAAGCAATGAACATTTCTTTTATACATTCCTCAAGCTTATACATTCGAGCTATTTAAGAAAACAAGTTGTATCTACATCTATGCACCAATTCTAAGGTTACTTCTAAAATACAGTATGCATGAATCCCCCCATTTACCCATGAGGCAGCTGAAAGGGGAACCGAAAAGTGTACTTGAAGTTACCAGCTATGCTCCAACAGATATTGCAGCAAATCATACAATCGTAAAAGAGAGCAGAAAATGGGTGTTCAATGAATCAAGGGGCAAGCGTACCTCTCACTGATTGAGATTTTTCGTACCAAAAATTAAAACATTTGAGGTCAAAGTTATAATTTTAATTGTCAAATTACAACTAATATCATCACCAATCATGGACTATTATGATCGATCACAAATAACATTTAAAAGATGTAACTTGATATTTAAAAGTTACATTTTTTGTGATTAATCATAATTTTTCAGTTGTAACTTGACTCAAAAAAAATTATAATTTGATCCTTAAAAATATTATATTTTCCAGTGCGATTGCTCGATACCATAGTCTTACCCTTGAATCCATCATGTCACAAAATCTGGTAACAGTTGAGCAGAAAACCTGTTTCTGTTCTGCGTGTTGATGTTCTCATAACCATTGTTTGTTTGGGAAGCTTGTGGGCTGCCAATTGCATTATAATGAGCTTCCACAGTTCCCATTTCAAGTCCAGTTCCCAACTGGATGTTTTGGTTGGAGAGGTAGTTTTGGTGGCCTCTTGTTAGAGAGAGGCTTTCACTGTGGGGAAGGCCAAGAGAGAGTGAAACACCATTCCCATGAAATCTCAATGCCAATTGTTCTGCATCAAACATTCTGAGTTCTCCAATTGGGTATGTGCCAAATCCACCACCATTGCCGGTTGTTCCTGCCATTAAAGGGTAATCACCAAACTTTTCATGTATTGCCTTGTTTGACAGGTTAGGCTCGATGTCCGTTGAAAGAATACTACTAGGAGAATTCTGCGTCTTGTCAGAATTTTTTGGTTTCTTTGGATTTCTTTGAACCATTCCATCCAAGTTTGGTGACCCGATGAAAGCAAAGCCTGTTTGAGCTTGAAGGGAACCTCCAGTGGTAGATTTTGTAAGATTGGAATTTGATAGTTCTGTTGGAAGAGATTTGTGGTCGATTTTTTTATCTTTCTTGGACTGGAGACTGATGCTTTGATCCATTGCAATTGCACTGCTTGCTTGTGGAGCAGTGGATTTTGACACTGAAACTTTGGTTGGTTCACTATGAGTTCTGTTATCTTCAGAAACAGTATGCTCTTGACCCTTGAATTCCTCCATGTACATGTCCTCAACCATAGGCTTCCAAAGCCGAACTCGAGCATTAATGAACCAGTTAGAGACCTGAATTTCATTCAATAGAACTGTCAGTTTTAATGTTTTAAATAAAAAACAAACTCATATTTACTTCAGTTTTCTATTGTGGAGAGACTTGTACTCATATGGTCTTCCAAGGTTGTAAATGTTAATGTAGGAGGATTGGTAATAGATTTTCAGTTTGATGTATCAAACTATCAAAGCTTCCCTCCCATAAGATCTAAACTTGAAGGCTCTTTGTGCACACCGTAGTTTCCTTTTGTGTTTATGTGTCATGCACATAAGTATGATTTTTTAATTTAAATTTATGCGTGCCTATTGGTGTATGAGTCGACCAGGATCATATACGTAAGAGATGGATCCCACATAGATCTGTTAAGTAGGGACTCCATGGGATGTATACTGATGCAGTATAGGTGACGAAACCCTTTCGCTCATTATACCATTATTTCTGCCCACTTCTCTGCCACATCATATACTATGTAATAGCTGCATCATCTACTATGTAAGAGGAGTGGTTTAACCTTTTTTGATTTTGTTGGATGTTTCTAACACGGTATCAGAACTGAACCATGGCATGTCATGGGTCGTGTGTGTCTTAGAATGAGTGTGTACCGGTGCGTCTATATGTCGGTGCATAGCAATAGGGATAGAGAAGGATGGAGTCCTTAGAGCAAAAACGGAAGGATAATAATCAAACTCCTACATACCTGGCTCTTTGTTAACCCTGCTTGTTTAGCAAGCATTTGTTTGTCTGCATCCTTGGGATAACTGCATACCAAAGTGGCAAAAGAAAAATAAAGATGTTATAATGAAGCTCAAAACACGCCCCGAAGGACACGAAGAGAAATCTCATGATTAGCGATGACTATGAGGTAATTACGGATGAAGGAAGTGCTCGAAGAGCCAAGCACGAAGAAAAGAAACAGCTCTTTGAGGCAACCCTCTTTGGGGTCTCCAAGCAGAATTATTGTGTTGCACCATCCCCAACTGTTGTAAACTCCGTTGTTGCTGTTGAAGCTGATGATCGACGAATTTCAGTCTTGAAACCTCAACCTTCCCTCCTAAAGATTCCTCCTCACCCAAGCTCTTGGTCGTGGCTTTGATTTGTGCAGTGATTGAATCTTTTAAACATCGAAATTGCTTTGAGATTGTTTGTAAAGCAAGTGCAGTGTAGGACTTTGCTGACCCAAACCCTGAAGCCTGCTCAAATGAAGCAACCACAATTTGCATTTGGTGATGGTAATGTCTGTATCTTTGCTCCACCTGCAAATGTTGGACAAAAATACGTGGCATCATTTTCAAAGTAAGTTGATACCTTAAGCATTTTACAACGGCATATATTCAGAGTAAAGTAAATCAGAGGAGACCTAGCAAAGTTTGGCCTAAAACCAGCAAATTTGTCCGAAACTTCCTGCCATAAAGAACTTGGGAATGCCAAATGGTCCCAACTAACACTATTTGAACACCCAATTGATTTCTTCTCCTCTTAATACTAATTTGACCCTATAAAGGAAGAGTAATGTCATTTAAATCTAATCATCTGACTAATTTGTTGACATAATTATCAATATTTATTGGATTAATACTAGGTAATAAAATATTTAATGGGGTTTATTGTCAATTCGATGGCAATAGCAGAGTACATCAGCAAATTAAGCATATTTATTAGGTTTAAATAGTATTAAAGTAATGCTATATGAACTTAAAAAGTAAGCTTGATAATCACAACTATTGAATAGGTAGTGGGTCCCTACATATGTTGGGATCCACAGTAATATCAATGGTTATAATTATTAAGTCTAATTTTTAAATTCATGTAGCATTGCTTGTAGTATTATGACAACAATTAGCTGCAAATGTTGGCTCAACGTCTATACCTCCTTGAGAATTGTTGTTCATTTGCTTTGCCTTTCGTATTTGCAACACAACATATAATTCTTTTGGTTGGTGCTGTATTTTGTGAAGGCACAACCCTATCACTGGTAAATTATGATTTCCAATATAATCTTTACTTTCCAAAATAAATGAACTCAAACTTTTCTATTTTTCTCTTCTTTTCTTTTGTTTGTTTGGGAAGACAAACAACTATAGTCATCAACATAACTTATAAATAAAGTGGTCCAGTGCATAAGATTTCTGCCACTATAAAACATAAAAAGGTTAAATGTATAAAATTTGCCAATGGAAACGGATAAATTTTCGTTTGCAAAGTTAGTTTTTATTAAATAAAATTTCGTTCAAAATATATGGCTTGTGTATACGAGGATCATACCTAATTGATGCACAAACCCAACTAAGAAATATATATATATTATTTTGGCTTAAGCAATGCTTCAAAAGAACCAGACATGCCCAAAAGAACCATGTTTTTGAATGGCCTTTTGCTGTCAAAGATCAAATGCAATTCAAGAATATCAATTTTGAGTTGAAACCTCAAAGAAATAAATCAAAATTGTACCTCATCAAGCATGCTAACAAGCTTAGCCTTCTTCATTTGAAGCTCCTGTCTTTGAGCAGTTGTAAGCTCAGCCACACCCTTAGCCCTACTTTCTTCTCCACTTCTCGTCTCACCAGCCACAGCCATTGATTCTTTCTTCATCTTCATCTTCATCTTCAATTTCTCCTTAGACCCCTCCCCAGTTTCATTCTTGTTTCTCTCTCCAACATTAGCAACTTCATCCAGAAGCTGTTGTGCAGCCTTCAGATACCTAGATCCCAAAATCGTAGTTTGGATACTAGAAAACCCATTAGAAACCACGGACACTGATGATGATGAACAGCCGGAGGCCCGGATATCGTCTCCGGCTCCCGGAGATATCATCCCAACTGGATTTTGCATTGGAATTTCATGATCAGTGGAAAGAAACCTGTAACCTGGCGGTTGTGGGGAAAGGCTTAAAGACAAACCTTTCTGTACCGGTGACAGTGCCGGCTGGCGAAACCCCAACTGCAAAGCAATATCAGTGGTTCCACCGCCACCGGAATTGCTCACCGCCACCGTTGGATGGCTTCGGGGTCCGGTTTGATCTTCTGAGCCCCATAAATTGTAGTGGAAACGAGGGACAAAGCCATGCAGGCTAGGAATTTCATGTTGGGTATGTACTGAAAGACGGTTCGGCTCTTCAGAATTGGGTGATCCAATGGTTGACGTCGTTGCCAGATTAGAGACAGCCACCATGAATTGGTTATGTGACGGTGGCGCGTGTGGTATACTTGCGGTGTTTGGCGCGTCTCCAGTGGCGGAATTGAAGAAGAGCATATTGGCCGGTTGTGGTGGGTGTGTGTCAGAGTACCCTACGTAGTTTGGGTTCATGAGATAAAGTGTCTGCAGGCCATCAGCTTGGATTTCTGAGCTTCCATGAAAGTACGTCGCCATTGATTTCAGAGAATTGAAGTTCCTTCAAAAACTAATCACAGATTTATCTTTCTTCTTTCTATGTATTTATCAAAGTATCGATCTGGGTATTCGATTTAGTTCTTTTCCTTGCTAAATTTCTGATGCTGAAAATTCCTGGAAGAAATAAGAGAGGGAAGAAACTGATGCTGAATCCATGGAATACCCTAAAAATTACAAACATTTTTCCTTCAAATCAGGAAGCATAAGCTTAACTAGTCAGATTAAGAACATTATATGAACAATTCTAATTATTTTGTAGAAGAAGAAGAAGAAACTGAGTATGAGTTTTGTTTATAAGTGGAGAAAAAGATGAATTTGGTTATGGTAGTTGTTAGTGGTACTTACAGTGAAATAAAACCCATCAAAGATAATCATTTTTACATTAAAAAAATGAAAACAAAAACAAAGGAGAGAGAAAGCCAAGAAAGATGTTGCAGAGAGAGAGAGAGGCTCAGTACCATCAAAGAATGGATAAAATACTAGAGGTTGGGGGATACATGAGAGCATGAGAACAGACTCACATGTCTATCTTGGCAGCTTAGGCTTGGGGAGTTGCTTTCTTGTCAGACTCAATTTCTGCAACTCTCCATCTGAAAAGGATAACAAGTAAAAAGAAGATGTGGGGTGGGGTTTGCACTTAAAGAGTCCCACAATGAAGACACCCTTGTAAACTTTATGATTAAATTGTTTCTTTTTTTTTCTTTTGGAATTAGGAGAACTATGGTAATAATTGAGAGGTTAATCCGTGTTCTTATAAACAATACATCTCTCTCTCTCTCTCTCTCTCTCACACACACACACACACACACCTCTGTGTGGTAGGTACATGCGATGGATAAGAAACAAGAGAGCTTCTGTGGACTTCCTTTTCACATCATTTGATGCGAGCACGTTTGATGGAGGGCCCAGAATAAGGAAAAAAAAGTAGCAAATTCTCAATGAGAGANACACACACCTCTGTGTGGTAGGTACATGCGATGGATAAGAAACAAGAGAGCTTCTGTGGACTTCCTTTTCACATCATTTGATGCGAGCACGTTTGATGGAGGGCCCAGAATAAGGAAAAAAAAGTAGCAAATTCTCAATGAGAGAGAGAGAGAGAGAGAGAGAGAGAGGAGACCAGGGGATGCATACAGCTGATAAACGAGGAAACGTCTACTTCCAAATAATGCTCAAGAGAAAAGAGAGAGTGGATGAGTTCCCTTGGCTTTATGTAATTTCAAATATCTTATTGTCACTTACACAAGTATTTTTCTTTTGTTTTTCCAGTTTTTTTTTGAGTTGAATGCAATTTTAGAGGATAAAACCCATGAATATCATGGAAAAATAAACTTACCCTAATTGAACAATTTGATAAAAATCATATTAACTTGCACAAAAAAAAAACCATAAAATAAAAAAATCATATGGGGCGATGTCGATTGAGCTTGGTTCATAGTATTTCCTCTAGATCTCAAATTTAGATTGTGTTAGAAAAATGTAGCTTAAAATGGCAAGAGAGAGAGAGAAGTCTCTCAAATTTTTTTTTCGGTAAGTAGTCTCTCAAAATTAGTAGTACTTCAAGTGTACTTCGTACGTACCATCTACCCATTATGAGGAAAAGAAATGGAACAACTTTAAATAATTAATTTTTTTTTCTCAATCTAAAAGAAAATCATCAATACGATGAGTAGTAAATTGATACAGAAGAAAATCAGCATTGTATTGTATTATTGATTGACGATATTGCATGTCATGACATGATATTACCGTCACATTCAATATTTTATCAACAAAATTAAAACATTAGTCAAACTTGATAAACCTAGTCTTATTGGGTGAGCAATAGTGTTTCTCATTTTTTTGCAAATTCTTTGGGGTAACACTATTGAGAACTAATTAGTAATCTAATCTAAAATTTTTAACTCAGTGATGTGTCGGTTGACGCTAACTAATTATATTATATTATTGTAATAAGCACAAAAGCAAACCAAAAATCAAAAAAGATATTGATTACTAAGAAACTATTATATATTCATCTTGATGAATAAGTAATACAAAGTATATGTCCATGTTTGTACTACTTTGTATGCAATTAAGTTTAGAAGAATTAGAACTCATGATACCTCAAACAAGTCCTAACTGTGAGCTCAGGTCAAGAGATTAGGTCAGGAGATCAGGAAAGACACGAGGAACACAGAGAACCAGGAGTGAAGCTCCCCTTGGAGAGATCGTAGCTGAACCGAACAAGAAAAAGTTGGATGACTGCGAAAATTAGGCCCCATGCATGAAACTCTCAACCAATCAAGATTCTCCCCTAAAATCAAGGAGGATCCCATGAATAATGGGCAAAGATCTCGGCTGAAATCCCACAGAATAGGGGGCAGCTTTATAAATACTATGTAACGTCTCATCGAGAGGGGGAAAACACAAAAAGAACCCTAATTGGATTATGGACTGTCTTATATTACATTCAAATAATCAATAGAGAAGAAAATGAGCAAGAGCCTCCATTTGAGAGTAGATTAGCCGAGTTCCAGAGCCAGTGAACCACTATATTCTTACTGTGCAAATTTCTCTATCCTCTAAGAAACACTTCATCACTACCATTACGAAGTTGGCAGCCTAACTTCACCGTTGGTCCCACACACTCTGTTCACTCACATTAGTCTGCACCATTAGTTTGACGCCATTTGTGGAAACGACTGTTCCTGTTACAAATAAGTTGATCTTTCAGTGACTAATGGGGTCAACACGAAACGTGAGCAGAAGCCAAATAAACCCATCTCGAATCCAGGACCAACAGGGAGTCACCAATGGCAGACAGCCCGAGAACGTCCTAGAAACTGATCCTCCCATGGGGAATCCCCCTACAAATAACGAGATGGAGGCCCTTTGCCTTGTCAATCAGCGCTTGATAAAGCAAAACGAGGAGCTCTTGAAGCTCTTACAGCGCCCACAGGAGGCACGTTCGACCCAAGAAGGTCAGAACAGTCCCCATTGCAGGGATCAACAACACCTTAATCCACTCAGAGAAGACAACGAAGGAGGGGAGAACAGCCAGACCTGGGGCAGGTTCCCCAACTACCCCTAGGAACGGCCACAATGAGGAAGTACAAAGTCAAAATCATGAAGGTGAAAAGAATGATGTCTTCCCTTATCAGCAGGAGAGAATTGACCAATATTGGGAGCAACGCTTCAAGGGCATCCAACAAGAGCTCAGCCACATGAAGGAAGCGGTCAGAAATAAAGCTTCAGTTACAATGGACGCCTTGGTGCAGCAGACTAAATCTCCATTCACGCATGGGGTGTCGCATTTTTCCCTCCCACCAAAGTTCAGGATGCCACAGATAGAGTCCTTTGATGGAACCAGGGACCCCATGGACCACCTCAATACTTATAAGAACCAGATGAAATTGCATGGGTACCAGGACCCCGTACGCTGTCGAACCTTTGCCATCACTTTGAAGAGTTCAGCCTTGGTGTGGTTTAACAGGCTCCTCCCGACNATCACTTTGAAGAGTTCAGCCTTGGTGTGGTTTAACAGGCTCCCCCCGGCCTCAATCTCTTCCTTCAAAGAGCTTTTCATTTCCTCCGTATCCCACTTCATAGGGGCTCGAACCCATAGAAAGCCAAGCTATCACCTTTTGAATGTGAAACAGGGATCACAAGAAAATCTCAGGTCATATGTCCAAAGATTTAATTCAGAGTCATTCAAGGTGGATGTCCCAAATGAAAAGTTCGCCATCACTGTCTTCATAGCTGGTCTAGGGGTGCTGTCTAAAGATTTGATATTCTCCATATCAAAAAATTCCCAAACAAGCATGACCGAGGTGTTGCCAAAGCGGAGAAATACATAAACGGCGAAGAAGCTCTTCTTTCTAAGGTAATGAGCTCTTCCGCACATAAAGACAAGGGAAAGGAAGAGAAAAAGAGGAACCAAAGTCCCAGGAGAGAGAGGGAAAGAAACAGATCTCCAAAGAGAGATAGATCTCCCAGAAAAGACAAAGAACAATCCCTAAAAAGAAGGGGGAACATTAAAGACCGCTTAGGCCCCCCGCAGCCTAAACTACAGCCGAAGTATGCACCTCAGCAATATACCCGTCTCACTACGATAATGTCCCAGATCCTATACGAGGTGCAGAACGAGAAATTTCTAAGGTGGCTTCCACGAATGAAGGTAGATCCGTCTAAAAGAGACCCTATGAAATATTGTGAGTATCATAGGGATCATGGCCATCATACCGACGATTGCATTCAGCTAAAGAAGGAGATCGAGTTCTTGATCTAGAGGGGATAGTTACGACGATTTGTCACCCATGACAACTAGAACATGACTCCACCACCATCGGTACCCAGCAACAAGCCCCTACGCAGCACCAACAATCCTTAGGGGAGATCAGAGTGATATCTAGAGGATTTGCTGGCAGTGGAGAATCCAGTGCAGCCAGGAAAGCACACCTGCGCAGGATCAGAGCTGGCGAAGCGCTGAAAGTACACACCGTGTCCAAAATACCTCGACTAAGCAAAACCATCACTTTTTGGGATTCAGACTTGGAAGCCTATCAGTATCCCCATGATGACCTGTTGGTCGTAAGGGTCATTGTGGCTAACCAAACTATTCACTGAGTTCTAATTGACAATGAGAGATCGACCGACATCATTTTCGGCTCTGCCTTTGACAAAATGGGCATAGGAAGGGAGAAGCTTGAGCCAGTGAGTGCTCACTTGATGGGGTTCTTAAGGGAGAGGGTGCTACCCCTGGGATCCATCCAACTCGTGCTCACTATGGGGGACCATCCTTGTCAAGCCACCACCACTGTGAAATTCCTGGTAGTTGACGCCCCTTTTGCATACAATATACTACTTGGGAGATCATCCCTCAACGCAATGAAGGCTATTCCCTCAGCATATCACCTGGTCATAAAATTTCCTACAGAAAATGGAGTTGGAATGGTCTGAGGAGACCAGCGAATAGCCAAGGAGTGCTACATGGCCTCGGTGAAGCAGAAATAGGTTGAAACTATCCAGCTAGATGAGCTTGACATGAGGGACGAGCTGGACACCAGGCCCATACCATTAGAAGAGCTAGAGCCAATCTAGTTCGATGAGGAGCCTAANCCAGCGAATAGCCAAGGAGTGCTACATGGCCTCGGTGAAGCAGAAATAGGTTGAAACTATCCAGCTAGATGAGCTTGACATGAGGGACGAGTTGGACACCAGGCCCATACCATCAGAAGAGCTAGAGCCAATCTAGTTCGATGAGGAGCCTGAACATATTGTTTATGTGGGATCTAAGTTGAGCAAAGAAATGAAAGACCTACTCACCCAGTTCCTGAGGAAGAACATGGGGGTGTTCGCTTGGAAGCTATAGTGCATGGAAGGCATTGACCCCTCAGTCATCACACACAAGCTAAGCGTGAATCCTATTTGCAAACCTGTTAAACAGAAGTAGAGAAGTTTTGCTCTAGATCGCCAGAAGGTAATTAACGAAGNCATGGGGGTGTTCGCTTGGAAGCTATAGTGCATGGAAGGCATTGACCCCTCAGTCATCACATACAAGCTAAGCGTGAATCCTATTTGCAAACCTGTTAAACAGAAGCAGAGAAGTTTTGCTCTAGATCGCCAGAAGGTAATTAACGAAGAGGTCATTAAACTCCTCCACGCCAAAGCCATCAGAGAGGTGGACTACCCTACCTGATTGGCGAATGTGGTACTAGTCAAAAAGACCAATGAAAAATGGTGACTCTGTATTAATTTCAGTGATCTCAATCGAGCATGCCCC